TTTTTTTTTTTTGGAGAGGTTTTCGCTATAGGGCGCATGCGCTGTAGGGTGCGTGCGCTTGCCAGACAGACAGAGAGAGACATAGAGACAGAAAGCGAGAAATCACCCCCCAGGGGGGATGGTCATGCTGCAATACCTTCTCCTCCATTCTCCTCTCGGGATCTTGGGCATGTACGCACACACGCCCAGCGTGAGTTTTAAGCCACCGGATCCGGAACACGAACCGCAGTCGACTACGTGGGAGTCCAGCGACATAGCCATTACACCAACTGCTGGTTCCCAATAAAATAATTCTTTAAAAATAAGTGAGTTACAAGAACGGTTAACATTTTAATCCTCAATCCCTAAGTTGCTCACTGGTTCTTTGAATAAAAAGGAACTTGTAACTTCAAGTTCATACTTCCAAAAATTGCATAGATCTAAAGTCCAGATGAAAATCCTTTTAGAAATAACTATCTAAAGTTTCCACATTGAGTGTATTTATTTTTTTTCTAGGATTAGGGCAGATTGCATTGGGAGCCTAGTCTTTCATAAAGAGGGGGGGTGGGGAATAGAGTTGGGCCTTCATTTTCTCACAAAAGGCACAATGCGAAGTGCATCTGTGAACATTGCATAATTTGTTATGTTCTACAAAGAAGGTGGGTTTTTGTTATACACATACCAAAGCTATTTGGTACTGTTTCACCAATGATCTCTATTCAGGACCAGAAAAGAAATTGGCCTCAGAAGAGTGAAAGGAGAGTAAATTTTTCTTTAAAAATTAGATACAGATTATCACTTCAAAATGCAGGAGGGAATTTTACAAGTGACGATGTACTGATTAGCTTTCCAATGGACATCCAGTCCTTTATAAAACGCATACTAGCTGTGGTCAACTGTGACCAATGTGGTTTATTACTCTCCAGAAGAGTTGAACTGAGATTACCCATCTAATTTAATTGAGAAATGTTGGGTGAACTTGAACTGCTTCATGGACATGAATGACCAGAGAATTTATTCGCCGAGACATTAAAGCCTGAATATGGTAACTATCTCTTTGATGGTTCGTACAGTCGGTCTTCACTTCATTGACGTGTCTTTCGTATTTTTTGTCATTACTGTTTATCTAGTGATTACCGGAGCAAGCTTAAATGAAAAGGCAAATAAATAAATAAGTAAATAAATAAAGAAGTAAGGAAAGTTTCTGTACAACATCATCACAAAAATACGAGCAACTTTACCTTCATTGGTAAATATTCATGGCAGCTTTTATGTAGTTGATTAACTCTTTTTAACAGGACATTGGCTTTTAAGTAAAGGAAGTTACTGGTAAACTGTGAAAGAAATGCAAAAGTCCCTTGTTTTTTCATGTGGCAGTCCCTAAATCATTTTGTAGGTGTTGTCTTTTGCTTTTATTAATTAAGAAAAAAAAAAGTCATCAGGAAGTTGGTATGTTTCCGTCAGTCTTCTTTGCGTTTCCCTGTAAACGGGGCTGTGTGAGCTCTCATTAGTGTACCTCAAGGAAACATTTGTGGTAACTTTATCAATAATACAGTGCACAGGGTGGCATCCGCTTTCTCTTCATAGGGGTCTGCTAACATCGAAGATAAATTCAGCTTCATTCCAAATGACTTAAGGCTACGGTTTGATGTGAATATATACAACCTTTTAAAACTATATTTAAATATTATATCTTTGAGATTATTCACAGAAACTCAAGAGTCTGAACCTCCAGGAATAAGTTACAAAATCACACGTCATGTTACTAGTGACTCTTTAAATGGAATTTTTCACTGAAACTTTGTCATTAAAACAGAAAGCCCCTTTGGTTGTGCCCATACAAGCATAATAAATTGTATATGTTTGTGATACTGAATGACTCCTGCCCATATGCTGCACTGCAAAGCTACATGAATGAGGCATTTACCAAATCAGGCCCACCACATTAAACAGAAAAACAATCTTTATTCATGGTAACTTATCAGTTTCAATTAATCAACCTTAACAATGGAAATTCTGATGTGTTCAAGCAACTTGAAAGCAATAGGTCATCTCCAGGGCAGCCATGTTGTGTCTTTGTGCCTAAGGTTTCAAACAAAGCAACATCGCCACTAAATATACATACGTATACATACATACATGTGCATCTATATACATACAAATGGACGGCCAAGGCTTCACCTGCACCATGCCAACAAAAATGTAGGTACGTTGTTGGCGATTTTTATCATAGCCAATGTAATTGTTTTGCTCCAAGTATTACTTTTTGAGCTCTGCGAGTTTAAACAAAAGGAAAGAAATTTCCATTGGATGACCATCCTTTCAGTTTCTGTGCTGCTATGTGAATAGCATTGTGCAAACCATTCCAATGGTTTTGAAAAGGGGTAACCATTGGTTTGATTTGGTTACACGGTTTAGTAAAGAGCTCCCTCCCACTGCCTTAGGGTCTGTGAAAGGTCTGTGACCTGTTTAGAGCTGCCAAGTGAAATGTCATGTCGCCCCTCCCAAATGGGAGTATCTGCATTCATTTGATCAGTATAAAAAATGATTGGGGACGGCGAGATCAGTGCTTTTGAATTGCAATTTATAGCAGTTTACAAAAATGCACATTGTTGGAAAAGAAAACATGGAAGTGTTTCTTTCTAAATTGCATTACCTGTGAAATGTCATTAGTCTTTTAAGGATATTTACATCCTTTTTCTTTATTCTTAGGAGACTTACTTCAACTTAAAAAACCCAGAATTGTATTACTTTATGATGTTTTATACTTGCATTGCATTTTTAGTAGTAGAATTTAAGAAAAAACAGTGCGTCTGAGTGCTTAGGAGGAAAGTAATTTGTTATCCTATCAATTTTGTTAATTCTCTAAGATAATCTTTGTAAATGAATTGTATCTGTAGAGGATGCTCAGTTATCATCCCAAATTATAGAGGGGATTCGTTGGTTGGTAAGGGCCTTATCTGCTGATTGCTAATAATGAGACGGAATCTTCAAGCATAGCTAACTCTACCAAGTTTCCATGATTCCTTCAACATTTTACTCCCAGAATTTCTTTGTAAGATGAGTGCTTTCTAAACCGGGGCACCCACAGTCTCATCTGCCTGCATGCATCATTTCATAAAAGGAAATGTTATTTCTTTTCATTCAATTTGCATAAAAGAATACATGAGCTTTATCCAAAAAGTTTAGGTAGACTGTTCAAGTTCATAAATGCTTAATGAAGCCACCTTCATTAAGGGGCTTCTGGGAGGCAGAGAACGATGCCCTTTATAATATTTTCAGGAATCTGAAAGCTCCTTCTCTTCACCTGAGACAGTGAGTGCAATTGGACGTTATTCTGAAGAAATATTCTTTGAGTAAGAAAAGCTACCTTGGGAAAGGCCCTCCAGGCTTCCCTGGTTGACGCTTGACTAGAGAAAGAGAGGCCCTTCTTCAGAAAAGACTTGACCTGATAGACTCACAAGCACTCCACTTTGAACCTCCCAACCATTGAAAGCCGAGGTTGTCACGTTTTTATCTTTGCTCATGTTAAGCCTTGGAATGACAGCCTGGCTCTGTGTTCCCCTCTCCCACTGCCCGGCTCTAAGTGTCCACGTTGACACCTACCGGTGACCGCAGGCTGCAGTCCTTTGTCCCTTTTCCACGCCCCGGCTTTCACTGGGATTAGCTCTGGGCCTTTGTTCCCCTTCAAAGCTGGAACATCACATCCCATGTTGCGGCTTTCCTGTCTCAGACCCCCAACGCTTTCCTCACAATTTACACACCAGGTAAATGTCCCTTCCTGCAGGGCAGAGACCCCCAGCCTGGGTGATGGGGGCAACATCTTCCCCTTCCCCAATTTCAGAGTGGTGCCCATCTGATTCTTTCCTCCCCAAACACGTGCTACTCATGTGGAGGGAGACTGGACCGCAAATGAAAATGGAAATCCCAGGTAAACTGCAGAGGTTAAATCCCTGAACCCAATCACAAGACCCTCCCCAGCCCCCACCATACACCGTAAAGTATACACACTTTTTTTGTTCTTTTATAATGGCTCCTAACTCTCCGAAGGTCACTGACTGGCCTTGGTCACAAGCACCTGAAACCATTTCTACTGCCTGGAGCAGAAAGAAAGCTGTCTCTGAGGGAAACAAGACTGGCACAAGCCTTTTTGAGGACCCAGGAGGAGTGATAGTCTGACTTAAATCCCCCCCACACCCTCTTCCAAGTTACTGAGAAGCCCTGGGCTAGGGCCAGGCCTGGGAGGACCCACTAAAAATGACTCAATGTGCTCCAAGAGCGGATGAAGAGTGGGGAGTGGCTTATGCAGAGTAGGTAAAACAAAGTTCCGTCTTCATCTTTCCTTGTTTTCTTTCTTTCTTTCTTTCTTTCTTTCTTTCTTTCTTTCTTTCTTTCTTTCTTTCTTTCTTTCTTTCTTTCTTTCTTTCTTTTTTTTAGGGAAGATGGCAGGAACCATGAAAGAGCCGTTGAAGAAGTCATCCCTACCCCAGAGCAGCCCGGTGAACGAGTTGGACACTTCTGATTAACCCGGCAGAACAGAGGCGTCCGGACTGCCTGACTGGCAAAGGACGCTATCTCCCCGACCTTTCTGAACTAGCTGTCGGTCCCTCCCTCTGCATTCCT